TGCTCCAGCACCCCCATGCCGCCCTTTTCGTTCTACCACTCCCCTGAAAAATGAAATCGCCCCCTGGGGGGCATTATCGCCCACGTTAAGAACCACTGCTCTAGCTCATCAGAAATTATAGGAATTTTTAAAATACACAGCACATACTCTTCCACCAAGTTACAAATTCCCCACCACATACTTAAAATTTTATGCCTAGAAATATGTAATATAGTCTTGATGGAACTGTACAATTTCAAACAGTGTAACAGAGATGGCTAATGTCTTTAGAGAGTTCATATGACAAGAAAAAGGCTAGGTTACAACTGTTCTTATCCTACAGCCCACGAAACACTCTGTCAAGCTGCCTACCATGGTACAAAAGCCCACTTTTCACACAAAAGGTGTATTTACAGTTATCATTTATAGAGTTATTCCCAACCTTTCTTTGGCTACAACGATAAACATGATATAAAAGAAATACAGGCCGAACCAGGATTGTATAAATTGCATAACAGACATTGTAAGGTGGTGTGAAAGAATTGTTTCCAGTCTGTGGCCCCTTTCAAATGTGTCAGCCCCCCCCCCAGGGGGCCATATGGTCCCCGTTGAGAATGGCTGAACATTTGTAAGTAAGTAAATAGGATTAGGAGAAACAGAGAGTCTCCAAAGTTACTTCTAGCATGCCAGAAAGAAGCAGATGGATAATCCTGGCAGGGGAGATTAGTAGGCAGCATAACACACTTGCAGGAAGATATGGGAATTGAAGAAATATTATTATGAAAACCCTGTGTCCCAGAAGTAGTATGAGTGTCACTCACTGAGAGTCACTGGGCTAACATTCTCTTCTTCCCTGATATTAGAGTTTCTAAGGTACAAATTCTTTGTGCATATTTTTACATTGTATAGTCACATAGTTAATATCAGTGGCCTGTATCATACTGCTAGTCCCCTGTTGATTCAGTTGGATTTACGTAATTCAGCAGTTGAGTCAATGAATGTATTTTTTAGTTGGGGCTAGCAATAAGATACTGGTCTGTGTTTTTTGCATTTTCCAATAGTCTGAGGACTAGACATAAGTGAACTGAACTCAACTGATGAGAGACTATATGCAATCCATATCTGCATGCTGATGTGGCATTTGCTTAGTGCTAAAGTACGCTGATTTCATGTAGACTTCCAAAATTGGCTTACTATGTAGCAGCTGAGAAACTAGTAATTATAACCCAATTATAAGCTTAAGTACTTGGAATAAGTGCCCCTGAATTCAAAAATAGCTACAGTATTTACAAGTAAGTGTGCACATGAGTAGAACCTCCACATAAACTAAACTGGGATTTAAATTTTTCAAAATCTTTGTAGAATCAGCGTGTGTGCCCATGATTATGGCCTGACTAAACAATGTCTTCACTTTATTTAGCAATTTCCTTATAACAATATGTTAAAATAGTGAGTTTCAGTTTCATTAGAGAATACAGTGAGACAATTATGAATACATTAAGCTGGTAGAGAAATGTCTGAAAGTAGTATATGGCTAGAGAGTTAGCTAACTCACATTCAGTGGGTTAAAAGTGTTGCAGTTCAACTTAGTAGTTTTAAGTGATGGTTCTGGCAAAAAAAACACCCTGAAGAGCTGAATAAATTTACAAGCAGAATAAGAAATAACCATTGCTACATTCAGTTCGGACGTTTAAACCCTTTGCCAGAGGCTGTCTCATGAATAAAAGAGGCTTTCAGGAAAAGCTGTTTAAAAACTTTTTTTCTAAAACGCCTTTTCTTTGCAAGGTGATGTACAAACTATGTAGTACGGATTTCCAGGTCCAATTTTTTGGAGGCGTGAAAGACTCCCCGATAATTTATAACAGTGGCTGTGTATATTAGGACTTCATTCCCACGGAGACACAGGGAGCGAGGCTCCACCGGTCGAAGTTGGATGTACGACGAGAGGAAAGAGCATAGGATCACACTGCGCGCATGGCACTGTTTTAGAGAAGCAGGGAATTCCTCCCACGTGGAAAGTCGCCTCAAAAGTAGGGAAAGATCAGGCATATCTGATTTTCTACAAGGAGGGCACAAGGAGACCGCTCCCAGTTGCCTGGACGCAAGTTAGCACTTCAGGCAGCCTGGCTCGGGCATCATCGTGGCCAGAACTGGGCTCGCTCCTCTCCTCCAAGGAGGGGATCCGCCTTTGCAGGGAAGATCAGCCTGG